TTATGCAGAGTGAAATATCTCAGTCACAAAAGGACAAACATTGCATAGCACCACTGTTATCAAGCAGGTCTGACATGAAGGCTTGGGAGGAGAACAGGATAAGAGCGGATAAATAACAAACATTGAATGCATCTATTCACTGGAATAGATGAAGAAAAGAACTGTTTATAAGGAATATATATTAGGAATTATATGTATGACAATAACTCAGACTAAGAGGTTCCCTGCAATGGGGACTAGGTGGTGGTGGTGGTAATTGTTCAGCAAGGAATGGATATCTTTTAAAAAAAAACAATAAATGTGAACTGGGGGGGTGGGGAAGTGAGGAGAAGTGAGGGAAGTGGGAGAGGGGGTAAAAATGTGCAACAGTGAATAAATAAAAATCTAACTTTTCTGTAAGTTTTCATTAAAACCACAATTAAAATTAAAAAATTTATATATAAAAAAGAAAAATTAGAATGTAAAGTCTATGACACACAGCTCCATTCTAATACATATGGAATCACCTTGAGTCCTAGTGAATGCAATGGCAATTAAACATGCCTACCTGCTGAGTCAAGTGAACTTAACCAGTGTCTGATTCAAACACTTTCCAAACAATCATTTTTATTCAAGACTTAGCAAATTCCTGGCATGAGTTTCCTTTTCGCCCTCAGAGTCTATAAAAGCTCCCAAGGCCAGACCACTGTACACAGTTTGCCATGTCAGCCCTACACCTCGAGGTGTTGAAGTGTTGCTTCACATGAGCCTGTTCCTAATTCTCTTTGTTCACAGCACTTCAGGCTCTTCGAAGGCAGCTCAGTATTGTGATGTGGGAGACTGAGTAAAAGGTCTGATGGATGTGGATTTGCAATCTGCTCTTTTCCTGTGACTTCAGGTAAGTTGCTTATCACTGTTAATCACCAGTTTTCCCAAATGGAAAATGAAAATAAGAGTATTGCCTTCCAGAATTGTGATGAAAATGACATGAAATAGGAACTAGGAAGTGTCTGGTTCTCAGAGATGCTTAAGAATTTGACTTGACTTTTGTTTTTCCTATCAAGTCTTACTGACTTGAAGTGGGAGTTGCTTGTGGTCATACAACATAGAGTGCCTTTGGCATTTTTTTTGTGGAGGGGATAGTGTAGGAAAGGACAAGTTAGTCAGAACTGACTATACAGCAATAGATTATAGAAAATAAACAACACCATTTGAGTCTTTCACAGGAAATTTTATTTTCTTTAAGGAAGCAAGAAAAGTATTCTGTTTTTCTTCTAGGGAACAAAAAGGCAGGGAGATGGAGGGAAGGTAAAATATGGTGAAGAGATGAGGAAGGAGAAAAGAAGGGAAGTTGGTATATGGAGTTAAGAAAAGGTACATGGATTCACTGCTTTTATATCGGAAGGGAAGACTGTTACTCAACTGAAAACACAGAAGTGCTTCCAAGACACTTATTTATAAAGCCCAGTTCCTTCAGATTTCAGAAATACTATAAACACGTCAATCGGCAGATCAAACGAGTGTGCCCAGCTACTATGCCCTGCAAGTCCCATCACTCTCTGACCTGCCCCTACCCTTGGAAGAGGTCTGAGCAACTCCCTGTTTTCTTAACATGGCTTGGCCTGGAGTTGTGCAGCTTGGCTCGGGGTACCTAGTTAGCAGTGCCTGGCCCAACTACCTCAAGATTTAGCACTGGGCATACACTTTGATATTTGGGGCTGTGGGCCAAATTGGACCTTGACTTTCTGAAGAAATGAATTACCCAAAATAACCACAGCAAATGGTAGCAAAGGGGTGTATATGTTCTCTTCTGATCATACAGATGAATTCAGCTAAACACCACCACTGTCAAGACTCTGACAATGAAAATAGCTACAGTAATTAGGGAGAGTGGAGAAATATCTTGGGTCCTAATTTTTACATAATATTACTAATTTGATTCTCATTTTGGGACACTAAAGATTTACCAAAATAGAAGGCTGCCTTCCTTTTAATCTGTCACAGAGTTTGGCTGCGCATCAGTCACACTAAGAAAATCCAAAAACCTCAAAATACATTAATCCCCGGTGAACCGAATCTTCGTAATATATTTATTCCCAGTGTTTTGGCAAAAGCATCTCATGTCACTGACTTAATTGGGGGCAGATTATTTTCCAGTTGTGAAATAATGTTTTCCTATTGGAATAAAAACATTTCAGGAGTGTCAGAAATAAAAGCATTTACTCATAAAATAATTTCATAATTTGGAGCATGAACAACATAAGTATTTATTCAAAAACCATTTTCCATTTAAGTTAAATGGCAAATCAGCGATAGTAGCGTCTTACTACTAATCCTAACTTGCACTCACAGTCATTCTTATTCATCCTGTTCAAAGATACTGCTACAGAAAACTCTCACAAAGGACTTAGAAAAATATATACAGTCTCTTCAAAAGAAAGTTAATTAAAGTAACAAAGTCAGGAGATAACAAAGCTTTGATATGAAACAAGGTGACACTTACAGGCACAAATAAATAAATATGTACAAAAGATAGTCTACAACACCATTGGACAAAGTATTACCAAGCCATGGTAACGAAAAAAACAAAAAAGTAGCTTAAGATCCTGGACTAAGATTCTAACACAACACAGTTTTTGTTTTGGGGGTTTTTGTTTGGTTTTTTTTTTTCCAAAAAAAGAACAATACATGAAAAAGTCTCTGAATTAATATTAATCTTAAAACTACATTAAACTAAATGTTGGCTCCCTATTAAATTCTTGTTCTAAATGCAGGCAAGAATTGGGTGTTTGGAATTGAGTATAAAATTTGGTGATGCTTTACAAACATTTGCAAATATTTCTACTCAGCTGATCTTTCGATTTTCCTCATGTGGCTACTGAAAAATGTCTAAATTTTAACTGACATTGTTAAATATGGAAAAAAAAAAGTTTTTCTAGATCTGACTGAATGTGATTAGAAACCAAAAGCAAAGCCATTTTTTATGTTATGCCGTAATTACTGTTAACTATGTAAGCACTCTGGGCATAGATCTCACAGTAGAAAGCTATCGAAATTCTATCAAGTTATCTCTAAGGTCTGGGGTAAGTCTATGTATATTTAGTGGATATTTAAAGTTAATTTTCATCTATATGTAAGCTCTGCCAGAATAAGCAGCTTGTTACTATACGTCTACAGAGAAGGATTTGGCACTACTCTAGAGAATCTAGAGACTTTATGCTTAACTCTTCCACTTCCTGTACCTCTCCCCCAGGAAAGTCTAGCTGGGAAAAGCTCTTGTTCCTCGTGATGGTGTCCCACAGCTAAAACAGAATGATAATAAAGACTCACCACCACATCATCTCTTCATCTCTCCGTGAATGGCAAAGAGCTCCATGAAGGGAACATGAGACGACCCGCTTGACTTGCTAACCAGCGTGGATGCTCTGTTCATCCAGTGAGCTTTCTGTGCAAAGGGAACGGCCTGCAAGGAGCTCAGCCCTGGTCTCTCCTTTAAGCAGACTGGCCAAACCATCTCTTTTCTTATCCCTTGTGTTGCTATCTCCTAAACCTGATGCTTCCCAGAGTCAACGGGCTGCTTCTGTGGAGACGGGTTCTCAGAAATTGCAGCCAACTCAGTCATTTTAGAAAAGTTAAAACGGAGGCTCCTATGCATTCACTAGTAAGCATATACACTACTCAGGAGAGTCAGAGAGTTAAGTAAGCTGCGTAATATTATGCCTAGCTTGTCTGCAGCAGAATTAATCCATAAATAACACACCCTGTATCATAACAGACCTGCTCAGGCTCTTTATTTGGAGGATTTATCCGCAATTCATTTTCAGAATAGTAATTGTAGACCCACATACTTACAAACTTCTCTTGTTTAAGAAAATCACTAATATGTCTCCATTTAAAGAGTCCTTGGGACATAACTATTCAAAGGGGAAAGCAAAGGCTTCTGTTTGTGGGATTGGAAATGTTTTAAGCAGAGCAGGGCTTTATGACCTCAATGACTATGTCTCTAGAATGGGGCAGGGAATGACAGACATTCTCTTCTTCCCTGAGCCTGCGCGCTCAATATCTTTTAAAGGAACTAAAGCAGAAGTAGAACAAATCCATTCTTAAACAGGTAGTGGGAAGGTCCCATTGATGGAACATCAACATCAACACTAAACTTGACTCAAAATACAGGGTTAAATTGCAACTAAAGATGATTCTTAAGTCTGGCGTGTTGGGTATCTTTAAGGCATAAACAAGGTAGGTGAATGATTAAAAATTTACATAGCCTATTTTAACTATTCGAGATTCTGGGCAAAGTTTCTTTCTGAAGCATGCTATGGTTCAGAATATTTAACATTTGGTATGACCAAAAGAAGAAAACTAAAAATAAAAATTAAACAAACCAACAAAAAACCCCAATCTTTTTTACATATTTGGGTCAGACATCACACATTCTTTTTTCTATGTGACACTGACATTTCATTGAAAAAGAGAAAATGCTGCTTTATTAAAAGAAACCAGCGTAGATATTGGAAATCCACTATAGTTATAAATATTAGTGTGCTTCTTATTTTAAAGAAAGAGAGGAGAACAGAACTACATCCAAACCTAGCTGTCGGGTGAGAGTTGAACGTATTCTAAACCGGGGTTAGTCTTAACCTTAACCTCTGCTGTGTTTTGATTTTAATGATTCCCTCTAAATTCTGATTAATCTGATTTAATTATTCAAATGTCTTCAAAGTCCACATTTCTTGTATCTACTCTGGCATGTTTCTGCTCCTACAAATATTGTGAGATGGTGAGATAGATATTATTCCAAAGCAGAAATACACACAGTAGGTGAATTCTTTCATGAAACCCTTCTCAAAAAAATTTCTCACTGCAATGCAGTTACCGAGGTAATAGCACATTTCTATCTGCCCACTGTGTTTTTGCTACAGGCCTTCCTCTATGTTTCTACAGACTAGTTCCTTTTTCAGGGGGTTCATTTTATTACACATGCTGTCTTTCCAGTATTCCGTTTTCTAACTAGGGCAGTATGCAGTTCCCTTTCTTTTGATGAAAAACATTAAAACTTTGTGCTGTGGCTGAAGGTGTCTGACATGATGATATTTTTATAGAAGTTATCTGAGTGGGTACTGCAATAACCCTTGACCTTGTCAATAACCTGGTGCACCGGGATGATTGATGTCTGTTCTCCATCAGCAGGGGTCAGTTTTGATGAGGACTTCTCCAGAGATGTACTGTCTGCAAGGAAGGAGACAGAGACGACAAGTCAGATTGCAAGGTGAGCTGGTGATAAGCCTATGGCCGCCATCTGGAACACTTTCACGGTCTTTTAAAGAGGTGCACAGAAGAGAAGCAGCTTAGATCCTTTCTTCAGCTGCTTATGTGAACCACTAAAGTGTCCTGTTGTCACCATCAAAATGCATTTCCAATATTCACTGGATGGAAATCTTGCTCCAAGTAATATACACTGGAATTTTTAAAAAACTGTTACTGTAACTGACATTTTTTCAGAGGCAATACATTTTTTTAAAAAGTCAGAAAACTTATGATGTATGTGGAAAATGGCTTAAAAGAAGAAGTGATGACTAACGAACAAAGGAATGAAAACACGTTCAAGTATTTCTTGAAGAAAGAGCAGGGCGTCTGAGATGTGTTTCCAAAACCATGCAGAGAAGGGAAGCCAGGCTTAAAAGCATCTGAGAGGCAGAGGAATTCACTGCACCGCCTTCTCAACTTCAGTTATGCCTCATTTTCATACTAAAAAACACTGATTAAAACAAAATTTAAAGGATTTTGGGGGAAATGAACAAAATAAACAGAAAAGCCTCATTTGGAAATGTTTCCCTACAGCTTATCAAATGATAAAAATATAGCATTAATGTATCTTTAGACAACAATGGTAACCTAGTGGGTAAAAGACAGGCAGTTCGAATCCGCTAGCTGCTCCTCAGAAGAAAGATGGGAAATCTCTCCTGTGTGATTTATAGCCTCGGAAACCTTGCACCAACGTCAATATGAGTTGCTTCCAACTCAAAACATTGTCCATAACAACCACACACCAACGAACTAAGGCACTGGGTGACACAATGTTCAAACCACTGCTAACCATGAGCTTAGTGGTTTGAGCTCACCAGCTTCGGGTGAAGATGCAGCAGCCTGTTTCCATAAAGACTGACAGGCTCGGAAGCCCTACAGGGCAGGTCTACTCTATCCTATACGATTCCAGCGAGTTGGAACTGATGTGATAACAATGGGTTTGGTTTTGGAATAACGACCTGAAAATTAGAAAGATCTGTTCTTAAGTTTTCTTTTTTTATGCCATTTAAAGCAAAACAAAACCCACCGCCATGGCGTCAGTTCCCACACATAATAACCCACCACTGGGTTTCAGAAGTTAAATATTTTTTCTGGGAGGGAACAGCCTATCGATTTCTCTCCTTCACAAGAGCTAATGGATTTAAACTGCCAATCTTTCTGTTAGAAGCTCCACATCCCATAAACTATGTCAAAAGGGATCCTTCAGTACAATGTAGCTAAATTTGTTTCTATACCTCAACACTTTTGCCTCTGATAGTGTTCTGAAGCTCACTAAAGCTCTTTTATCCATAAACACATATGGTTGTTTTTATGTTCCCTAAGATATTCCATAAAGATGTGCCATTCTGTTATCTCTCAACACCTGGGGAGGAAAATTCTACCGTAAGATTAAACAGATACTTTGTAGTAATTATAGAGAAACGGTGACCCTCTCCAAAGAATTTTGCCCCCAACAGTCAAATTCTCCTCTCTATTTAATTTGGAAGAAGTAGAAAACCCAATATTTAATGTTACTTTAAGGAAACATAGCTCCAAACTTATAATGCCCAATAAGGCTTTATATAGTTTGAGTAAATTGGACTTCGTATGTAATGAAACATCAAAAATTCATTAACTAGCTAAAGCCATCATCATTGCATTTATCTTTAGAAGCTATTCTATTTGTTTAGTTGTCTTAGGTGGGAGAAGCTAGTACTTAATATATTATATATATATAAATAAATATATAAATAAAACCTTATTTTGATTTATGTACTAATTCAGACAGTTAATTTGAGAACTCTGGTAGTTTCTTGTTGTTGTGTGCTGTCAAGTCATCACCAACCCACAGCTCGCCATGCAGAGGCAGTAAATCACACAGGAGGACAGTGCCCATCCTTTCCCAGCAGGTAGGTTTGAACCTATGCCTTTGGGTCGGTAAAACAGCTTCTTACTACTAGGCCATCAGTAGTAAGGAATTGTGCTGCTGACACAAAGGTACGGAGTTTGAATCCAGCAGCTGCTCCACAGAAGGATGGTCAACTTCCTCCCATGCAATTTAGTGCTTTAGTGAAAACCTGCTGGAGGGTCAGCTATGGGTCAGTTCTAACTTGACAGTGCAAAACAACAATATAGAGAACAGTACTCTCTCCCCACACTGAAAGGAACAGAAGAGATGAATCATGGAAATAATGGAGAGGCTGAAACACTGCAGAATGATTATGTCCCAGTGCTAATAAGGACATTCAAGGAGTCGGAATAGAAAGTCCCATCCCCATTTGGCTCACAGCAAGCTGATCAATTCTGTGCTTTCTTTCAGTTCATATATTCACTAGCCATTGGTTTTCCTTGGAAGAATATTTTCTGTTGACTCAAAACTTAACAATGAACACTCATTCTTAGTGTATATTACGTTTTATAGTATGGATTTTGTTTTTTCCTAAACTACACAGTCCCAGAGACACTTTAAGGATATATTCACTCATATTAATAGACAATTTCCAGGGGCATACTAACATATTTGGTCCAGCTCCATAGATATGAATTTTATGAGTCTTTACAGGATAATAAAGTAAAAGTCTGGACTAAGGCTTTCTTTCAATATGCATAGCTTTTCCTGTATTCTCCTTCGACAATGTTATGAGTAATAACGATATTGATTATAGCTGGAAAAGTGAAAACCAGGGGCTAGCGAAATGAACTATAATTTGACCTTTGCTGAAATTTCAAGCGGTAAAATTCCTCCAAAAGCAGGCTTGTAATTGGCAATTTCTCTTTTATTACTTCTATGAATGTACCATGATATTCTCAGTAATCTATAACAGCAGTTGTAAAGAGTATCATGTCTTTGTTTAAGGAGCTTTCCCTCAAATACAGTTTTCCGTCAGCATTTTACACAGCATGCGGCCCGCTAACTGCAGAGCATGGTACATTTTCTAGAAGGAGAGGCTTGCAGACATGCCATGCAGACCAAGAGCCACCACAGCACGCTGCCATTTGCAGTTTCAGAAATCCCAGCTCAGGGCAAGGACGCCTTTGTGCTAGCCAAGAAGAATCAAAAAGAACAAGCAACTTTGCTGGCGCAGCAAGTCTTAGCTTAATCCATGCAAATATTCTCATTAACCTGGCAAAAAAAATCATGCATTCAAAAAAGTTAATGGAAGGTTTACCTGGATGATGCACTTTTGTTGAAGGAATGCTCTTAGAAGACATTATCTACACCATAAACATATGAATATCTAGATCAATTCCAAGAAATAAACCAACTAGATATTTATGATTATATGAAGTGATTGTGCACACCCTGAGTGCTTTCTGGTATACCAGAAGCCCCACTGTAAATTGGTTTCTTACCAGAAGGCCACTTGTATAGCTGATGACTGAAAACCAGAACAGAAGTCAAGTCGTATAGCTGGCTATTTACTTATATAGCAAGTTAACAAGAATCCATGTAATCCCAAGTGTGTGTTATATGGGAAACAGGAAAAAAATATATATATACTTAAAAATATCTTTAAAGGCAAGATTATCTCTGGCATTTACATTTCTGCATCCCCTCTTTTAACTTCTAGACAATCTTTTAATAATAATTCCCAATACCTCACATTGCAAATTATCTACCTTGTTATCCTCTCTCCCTCACTTAATAGCAGCATTTCATCAAGCTGGCTAGTCTCAGTCTCATTTGTACCACCAGGAAAACAAATTCAACCTGTCTAAGCTTGAAGCAGGAGTGTCATCCACTTCAGAAATAACTTGCCTCTGGAAACTCTATGAACATGGAGAAACACTAAAAGTGTTCTGGTCTTTCATTCATTGGGTTGCTCTGAGTTGTCTATGACTTGACAGCACTTAACAACAACAGCAACTACAACACAGAGAGAACACTGTTGACCTAGTGGATAGAAAGTTATGCTACCAAGCCAAAGGTAGGTGATTTTGATCTGCAGCCCTCAGGCCTGGTTTTAATTGTTTTTGATCCCTACATTCTTCTAAGTGGTATAACACTGGTCAATCCATTTGCTGGACAGAGGTAATTCGTGATTGCTGTGAAGCTAAACACTGTGACACTGATGTGTCAAATGAGATAACTGTTACCCATGGTGGACAGTGTTTGGTGGAGCTCCCTGATTATAACAGGCTTGGAAGCAGGAGTGGCATCCACTTCTGAAATAGCTCACCTCTGGAAACTCTATGAAGGTGGAGAAATGATGAAAGTTATACAAGTGCTCAGGTCTTTTGTTCATAGGGTTGTTATGAGTCATCTAAGACTCGATGGCACTTAACAAAAACAATCTCTGTTCATAATTGATTGGTAATGAGTTGAAATGAGCATTTGATTTTAAGTTTGATTAAATAAAATGAGGGGAAAGGCATGATAATACACTGATATTTTTGTTCCAGAAAACTACCATATTAAGTAGAATAATCTAGATTACTGTAGACAATAATGATGCATTTATAATCCATTTCCTTACACTAAGTATCCTTAAGCACAGGTTGTAGTTGATTGCCACTGAGTCGAGCGCGATTCCTAGTGACTCCATGAACAAAATACCTGAAGCCTTTCTATAATTATTGTCATTTTTCAAAGTTCATAGTGTTTCCAGAGGCATTTGGTTTAGGAAATGGATGCCACTCCTACAGGAGACTTCTTAATTTCAGGCACAACTGTCAGTGACATGAATCAAAGACGTACCTATTCTCTAAGGGAGTTTACAACTTTCACTCCACTCCTAAAAATTCCTTTCATTCTAAGAAACTAAGACCCGCTCTTAAACTGCTCCAAATATAAGTTCCTTCCTTAATTAATTTCAGAATTAACAAACACTACATATTCACATTTATTCTTCCACTCGCCCTTACAGAGCCACCACAAACTCCAGAAAATAGCTGCTCCAATAGCAAGGAACAGAGAGTGGTACAATACGGGCTGTGCATAAGAATTCACACGTAGGGGAGCTCTGGTGGCCTAGTGGTAAGGAGCTGCAACTACAATCCCAGAGGCGCACGGTTCAAATCCACCAGATGCTCTGCCGGGGAAGGAGGGACAATCTCCTCCTGTACCAGTCAGATCTGATTTGACGGTACACTCACACAAAAAGTAATAAAATAAAATAAAATTTAAAAAAAAAAGAATTCACACGTGCATGTGAGCCATCTATAATTTAAGCATTTATAACTGGAATATTTATAGATACATTACACAGCACACTCCCTCACTTTCCAGTCTCAAAACAGCAAACATTAATCCTCTCTGTATTATCCACCTTGCTCATATTTAACAGTCAAACACTTTCTTTTTTTTTCACTGCCATTTTTCTTTGGAGAATTTTTAGTTAGGAAAAGTGCTGCATGTTAGATGTAGGCAGTGGTCTTCTAGAAATTTATTTCAACTCTTAAAGTAGTGATTCTATTACTTCTCTATGCAGTTATGAAAAGGTTACATCATTTCACTCTATTCACTGGCTACCAAGAAGTGAAGAAAAAAAAATCTGCTTTTGTTTGTATTATTCACACATATGTTCCATTACAGAAGATGTGGTCCCTTGTAAATGACATGAGAAAACCCAAGAGAAATAAAGGCTCTTTTGAAGGACCTGTACATCTTCTAAATACTAAGCTCTATATTCTTTTATATTTAATCAGTGATTTAAAGAGCAATTGCCAATAAACACTCTCTGGTAATGAATTAAAAAATAACACCAAAGTCTTAAATGCAATGTGGCCTATTCCTATACCAATATGTCAAGTATCATTCATCTTAGACTGAACAATCAGTAACTCTATCCCTGTATTTTTAAGATAAAAATATATTTTAACATTATATTACAATTTTTGCAGGGTGGAGGTATCAAATAATACTATAATGATATTTATAGTTGAACCATATTTGGTTGTAAAAGAAACAAAACAGTTAAAATATTAAAAGGATAAAGTCTTGGAACTAAATAAGACTTTGACTGGGCATTGTGATCTAGCAAACTTCGTGATCTGCCACTTTTCTCCAGTGAACATGAACAGAAAACATGTTCGCCGTGGCAAGAATGACTTACCAGTATGGCTGTTCCTTTTGAAATAGGTGGTTGAGCTGGATTTAGATTTGGATGTAAGGTAGGTTGAGCTGGAACCAATAGAGCTCGAAGATAATGATTTTCCTAGATTATCAGAACTTTTCTTGATGATATTGGTGGCTGTCTTACTCCAATCTAAAAGAAACGGCACAGTTCCATGTATATGTTTTATGGAAACATTTTCTACTTTGTAAACACATCACTATATTTTATAACTGACCTGGAACTTATTTTTAATATCTTAGCAAAGGTTCAGAGAAGAGATTGACAAATAATACAGTAAACCAAAGAAAGAAATATGTTCCTTATTTTGACCACACACACATATATATATATATATATATATATATATATATATACACACACACGTATGTATGTGTATACGTATGTATATATATATAAATATATGTGTGTGTGTGTATAAACATATATATATTTAAAATTCTACTTTAACTGTTTAAAATTCTGTATTAATAGTGGAAAAAATAGCTATTATGTATTTTTAAGGTTGTGACTTAAGGAAAGAACTAAGTAGTAGAGAATAATTTTCTTTAAGCATATAACAACAACAACTACAACATATTTTACACTTAGAAAAAAGATCTCTTGATCTCGTAATGCAGATTCTATCTAATATTGTAACTGAGGATCTCAAAACATTAAAAACATGAACATGATTCTCATATAGTAAAACTTCTAAAGATCAGACCCAGAACCATAAAAAAATCACTCAATCTATTTGAAATTCTTGTTTCTCCTCTGTACAATAAGAAGGTTAGGTCCAAAATCCTTAGCTGTCTTCTAGTACCAATAGTCTAAGACTTCAACTGAGCATTTTTTATAGACTCTAACTTTACAGCTAGCCTGTCATTAGGGAGCTCTAGTGACCTAATGGTAAGAAGCTGTACTGCAATCCCAAAGGTATGCAGTTCAAATGCCCCAGCTTCTCTGTGGGTGAAGGATGAGCAGTCTCCTCCTGTGTAACGTACTGCTTCTGAAAACCCACAGGAGGGTCAGCTATGGGTCGGTTCCCACTCAACCAGACACAGCTACTATTCGAAGCAGACTGCCATATCTATGGTTAAGGTCTCAGAGTATGCTCAGACACACACACAAAGAAGCATGCCTTTTACCTGAGTTATCTGCCAACCGAAATCTGCCACAGCAGAGGTGTCGCCTCCACTGTTTCTGAACGTTCTCCTTCATGGCACAGTGGAAGATAAAGATAAACAAACCTGTGGTAAAGGGAGATACAGATAATGAAGAAGTCACTAAAAGAGCAAATTGCTTAAGTGAGGAAATCTTGTAATGCCATGTATGGTGGCTTTTATCCTTCCAAACAGTTCACAAAGGCTCAACTAGAAGAATAATGAATATTAATAAATTGTAAGAATTGGATTCTCTTTGTTTGTTCTGCTCATTATTCATTATGAAACATAACATTCAAGTGGAAAGAAGCAATATTCAAATTTTAAGACAGTGTAGATTTTCCTTATATTTGTTCTAAAATTATATAAAAATTCATACTATTTAGAAGATAAAAATTAAAAAATATAAACACATCAACAAACACATTTATCACTTATTTTTAATGTGTATATTCTGAACAACTGAATGTATATATTTTATTATGGTTGTAATCATACACTATACCAGGTGGAGCCACAGGGCACTGGAATTTTTGTAGGTCAAAACTGGCAAATAAAAATCTAACAGTAGGCGAGCTCTGGTGGCCTAGTGGCAGGAAACTGCACTGCAATCCCAGAGGTGTACAGTTCAAATCCACCAGATGCTGTGCTGAAGAAGGAGGAACAATCGCCTCCTGTACCAGTCAGATCCAATTTGATGGTACACACATAAAAAGAATAAATAAATA